AAAAGTCAGTTCTTTTTTAAGAAAATAAATATTTTCAAATTAAAAAGTATTTGAACATTTTACCTCCCATAAACACTTCTTAAGTTACTCAAGCATGGGCGCCTGGGTGGCTCCGTCGGTTAAGTGACTGCTTTAGGCTCAGGTCATGATCCCGGGGTCCTGAGACTGAGCCCCGCACTGGGCTCCCTGCACAGCAGGGAGTCTGCTTCTCCCTCTCCTCCAGCCTCCAACTCCCCCCCTTGTTCTCTCTCTCCCTCCCTCTCCGTCCCTCTCTCTCTCTCTCAAATAAATAAATAAATCTTAAAAAAAAAAGTTACCCAAGCATGTACTCCAGCAAAATGAGGGCATAAATCAAAAGAGGAAGACATGAGAAAAGGAAATGGAAATGATGCTACTTCCGGCCATGGAGAGAAGTAAAGAGAAGTGCCAGGATGACAGCTCTGTTGGACGCCTAGAGAACAATCAGAATCCAGAATGGCATAGAAAGATAAAGGAATCTGGGCATAAAAGCTTAGGGAAACAAGACTTGATAGAACTGATGGAATTTAGAGCCTAAAAAATTCTGAGAGGCAAATAATATATAAACAAGTAAGAAGGCAATTAGAAATACTTGAAAAAATGTTTCAGAAAGTCAAGGTCCAATTATGAAGGTCCCATCCCTGCCACTCACATATCAGGTGAGTGGCAGGGATGGGATTAGAAGTATGTGATTCTAAAACCTGTACTCCTGCCCCTGCACCATGATGCCACAAATTTAAACAACTGGTTAAGAGTTTGAGGGGTGCCTGGGTGGTTCAGTCAGCTCAGGTCACGATCTCAGGGTTGTGGGATGGAGCCGCATCCAACTCTGTGCTCAGTGCTTGAGATTCTCTCTCCCTCTGCTCCACCCCCCCCCCACTTGCACTCTCGCTCTCTATCGCTAAAATAAAAAATAAAATCTTTAAAACGAACAGAAAAAGAGTTTGATGGAAAGAAAGAATCCATTCAACTTTGGTGCTGGATATATCCTCCTTTGATTGCCCAGGAGTCCTGACATGAGACTGAATGTAGCAAGTCTAAACTTTAACCTTAATATAAAAGGCAATGAATTATATTTATAGAAATGTAATAATGTAAATGTTGTCTCTAGATTTTCAACTTTAATAATAATTTATGAATAAGAAGGTCAAGTTAAGAGCAAAGCACAAAACTTTTATTGGTTATGGGTTCAGGGCCTGGACCGTTAAGGTGTATGGACAGAATGAATTGTAGAACAGGTAGCCCCCAAACCTCCTTGACTTGCAAAAGGGGGAATCAAGAAATAAGTTGACAAAGAATAACAAAGGTGATCTAACAGACAAACTAAAAATAATATAAATATTAAATTTGGGGGAGAAAAAAACAGTTTAAGGAGCTACATTCTCATTTTCAATCAGAAGTTAAGAGTCGATAAATCAAAAAATTGTGGTAAAAGCATACTAGGGTTAAGGAAGTAACAATCTAAGAATTAAATACAGAAACAGTTAAAATAAAACCTAAAAGGCTCCCTCTGTGAGCCTTGAGGAGGTGAAGGAAACCATTGTTTTTCAACAAAAGTCCTTCTGTACTATTGGACTTGTTACTGAGTGCAAAGATCACTTTGACAAAAATAATTTTCTATGACACTTTTCAGAAAAGGGAAAACACCAAAATTATTACTAAAAACTGGGAGTGGCAAGCAAATGTTATCGCTGAAATTATATTTAATAGTGGGGATAACAGGCTCCCGGGTGGTTCAGTCGGTTAGGCGTCTGCCTTCAGCTCAGGTCATGATCCCAGGGTCGGGGGATCGAGTCCTGCATCGGACTCCCTACTCAGCGGGTAGTCTGATTCTCCGTCTCCCCCTGCCCCTCTGCCTGCTGTGCTCTCTTGCTCTCTCTGTCAAAAAATAAATAAAATCTTCAAAAAAAAAAAAAAAAGGAATGGGAATAAAGTATTTTTTCTTATAGAATGCTACTCATATAAAATTTTTCTGTAAGAATATAAAGTCCTACTGAAGCCAACTGTTTTCTTCTTTATAATTCTGTTTTCTGGTTTATGTGTAATAAATATGTATCCCATTTATACCCAGAATTTCTTTTTAATTTTTAATGTGATCAGTGGTCAAAATCAGTGTGCCAGGTGGCTAAGAGCCCAACACCTACATGCCCCCAGCCTGATTTATGAGCTTTAAAGAGCAGCAGGAACAGGGCAGTAATTTTCAGGGGCCGTGTGTTTTCACATCAACCCTCTCCACTTGTGTATGCTACCCTAAAGAAACACTGCAATGAAAGGTGTGACCGCTCAGAAAAGGTCCCCTTTAAGAGGTAGCAGAAAGTCATTACATCATATACATAGGAACAATCTTACCTAAGAAAATCACAAAAAGCTTTTTAAAGCTTCTTAATGGCCCAGCTTTGTTTCCCATAAAACTCATTGTTCAGCTGGGGAAGTGACAGGGGGATAAAGGTAGGAGTGAGGAAAATGGAAAAGTGCTCTGTAAGTAGTTGTCAACAGACAAGAGGTCCAGTCCAGGGTCTACCATTAAATAACCACATGACTTTCACAAAGTCACACGGTCACCCTTCCCTGGCCTTGGGTTTTCTAGCCAAAAAAAAAAAACAAAACAAAAAAATCAAACCTGACCCTGATCCAATCTGAAATCCTTTTAATTTCTCATTTATAAAAGCCTTGAGACAGAATCAATGATAGGATGGATGCCACTGTTAGCCCCATTTCACAGATGATGGAGCAAAATAGATTTTATGACAATCAATTCAGGGTCAGTTGCCACTATTTTTCAAGCTTCTATTTAATCCATCAAAATACATTGCCTTTGGTGGCTATGCAACGAAGTATGACATACAACATTTAACTTACTCCAACTTTAAACAACGCCCCCCAAAAAGCTCAGACAACTCCTGGCAGATTGCTTGTCCTGAAAGACAATAGTCACAATGACTTAAACTTGGCCAGAAAGTTTCCAGGGGCCGCATCAAATCAGGCTAGCCTACTACCTACCCATTTTTTCAGCTGTGGTCTTCACTGACTACCCAAAGTGAAAGAAGATGTACTCTGCTTTGGGCTGCAGGGTGGTTGTAGTTGGGGGGATGGACAAATGAATCTGAGCAACTTTCTCTAAACCCAAAGCTAACTTCCATTTTTGCCCTAGTTTCAATCATTCCATCATTATGCACTTGTGCATAGAAGGGAATTTTTTTGCTTTTGGGGGGGTCCTTTTTTTCCTAGCTTTCCTCTAATATTAGGCAAGCCTCTTATTTCATATTTTTAATAACCACAGTTATACTGATCATATATCATATACTTGTGCAAGTGTATATTCATAAGCACAGTTTAAGTCATTTGGGACCAAAAAAGATAACCCTAAATTACTGTAAATTATTGGACCATTTTTCTATTTGCATTTATTACTAAGTCCATTTCTAGAAAAGTCACAATAAATATTCAAAACCGCACTTACCTAAGTAACCTTAATACAAGATCATTTTGGAGCTTTATGTACCATAGAAACTAATGTCAGCCTTCAGAACAGTATCATCACATTTAGAAAAATGTCATGTTATTACATCACATACTTGAATTCCACCAGCCATTAGGAAGTCAAAGCATCGAGTACATGTCCACACTAACACTCAAAGCCTGGGGGAAGGCCAGTTGTGGAATGACCATCAAGTCTGTTTCAGGACAAGTGCTTCTCAGCATCACACCAACCCCAGAAACAAAATAAAGAACTCCTCCTTGCACAAGATGTCAACAGCATTGGGATGGGGAAGCAATAATTGGTCACCAGTATGAGTCAAAGAGTTGACTGTAGCAAACCTCATCCATTACTGTGTATTTGTTGTAAGATCCAACTGACAGCAATCAAATACTAGTGCCAAAGAAAGGCTTGATCATACTTTTAAAAGAGCACATAACGTCCTAGCGTAAGTTTTAAACTAAGGGCTTCTCCATCAAAGCAATTTCGGCTTTAAAATAAAGTCTAAGGCAGGTTCTAAGAAGCGAAGTTTCTTTCCATGGCAGTGAATGGCCAGTCAGTGCAGGCAATCCGGAACCAAGTGGACCAGCTGCTGGCACAACCTCCAGCCAGGCCATCAATAGCCTGACCCCCCTTGACCTCACCGGTTATATTTCAAGTTCCAGCGCGTTTCTCCCCTGGAACATAATTATCTTAGGGTACCACAACTGAAACAATCGTCTTTATGTCTGTGAATGTATTTTCCCTTACAGTCTAATTGTAAAAATCATCACATCAGGAAAGCCCTAACAATGTGAAAGGGAAGAGTAACAACAAAACAGGCTCCTGATCCGTTGGTATTTTAGGTTACTAACTGCGCCATAATATAACTCCTGACCCAATTTCCGCACAATTGATTTTCCAGCCCACAACTACTTCACCACGGAGTTGCTAATTACATCACCGTGCGGTGTGGTCATTACATCACTCAGCTGGGAGCAGAAAGGCCTACCAGGCGGTGTTCACTTTTCTAGCTTGCTTTTCCTAAGAATGGAGAGACTGCAGACCACCTACACTACCAAGAGTCCCTCTCCTTCCCAAGCCTCAAAAATGTTCTAGAATTTATCTCCATGTCACATCCCAATGGACCAGGCTCTGGGACATCTAAGTTGGAGTGGACAGGTAAGGGCGTAAGGGTTTGTGCCCAGAAGTCACTATTCCAGATTCAGGGCAAAGTCACCTATGTGTTTCATGAGAATCACCCCAAAACTACTTTTTTTTTTCCCTCCCACTTCTACGAGTTTCCAGGTCCCCAATCTCTTGGAAATTCCAGGACCCTGGAAGAACCTCACCAGATGCTCTTCTTCTGATCTTTTACCATTCCAACACCCAGAGACACACTCCCTACTTCCATCTTCCCAGATCTTTCGGAAACAAACGTGGAAGGACCCACACCGCGCGCGCGCACCCCAACAAGCATGCGCACCCTGGGCACCGTGACTGTGCCCCCTGACTTCGGGCTGACTTACTTGAGGAAGTACCTCTGGCCAGTGGCCGTGAAGGTCATCTCCCAGCCCGGGGGCAGCGGCAGCTCGTCGGTCACATCGTAAGACTGCTGGCGGAGGTGCGCATGCTGCTGCGCTGGACTGCCTGCAGCACCCGCGCCGGTGCCCAGCTGCAGGGACGCGGGCGACGAGTGCGAGCGGACGTGCTGGGCGCCGCTGGCCAGCCGGGGCCCGGGGTGGCCGCCGGACGAGTCGGTGCTCGACTGGCGCGAGTGAGAGCCAGAGTCAGGCTCCTTGAAGAACGACTCGGGCAGGATCTTCTTCCGCCACGAGCTGGGCTTGGGGTTCATGACCGAGTTGAAGAGGGCTTCGAGGTCCGTGTCTAGGTCCTGCGTGACGTGGATCACTTGCTGCCCGGGTGGCGGGAGCGGGGGGGGCACCGAGGCCGGATTCATCTTCTGCAAAGAGAAAGGTCAGATCAGCCTTTTATTTAAAGTCGCAGGAAGGGGTCCGGGGGCAGAACAGAAACAAAAGAAAAAGAGGCGACAGATAGGTGTCCGCCTCGGGATCCCAGACACGCAGCGGTAAGGCCAACCGGATGGGGGAGGGGTCCCTCCTGGCCTGGAGAATTATGCAACTTTCTTGAAGCAAGTAAGTTGCCGGGAGGAGGACGACAAGGAAGGGCGGGGGGGGGGAAGTAACTGCACTCGGGAGGTGGCTGAACTGCTGGTGGCGAAGGACAGGTCGCAACTTTCCCGGGCAGGCAGCCCCCCCCCAAAGTCTCAACCCAAGCCAGCTCCACGACATCGCGACTCCGGAAGCCCGAGGAGCCCAGGCGCCCTGGGGTGGAACGGGGTGAGCGGGTGCGCTCCAGCGGGCTCTACCTGGGCGCGCAGCGAAGCCGAGTCTGGGCGTGCGGCGGCCGCCGTCCCGCCCGAACTCGCCGTCGGGCCTCAGTCGCTCGGTGCGTCCCGAGCTCGCAGGGCTGTAGCCGGGGCCCGGCTGGCAAATCCCGACTTGGTGCCTGGCAGCCCAGGGGCTTCGGCTCTCACATCCCCCGAACTGGCCTCAGGCGTTCGTGCTCCGCGAGAAGGAGGCGGAGGAGAAGCAGACAGCGCGGCCGCCGCGGCTCCCGGACTGTCCCATAAACAAAGTTTGGAGCGAACTCCCACTCCCAGAAAAGAGGCGGGCCCCAAAGTTGAGCTGTTGAATTATGCATAACCTTCAAGTCCTGAGCCTGCCTGCCCCCGCTCGTCCCTCCCCTTCCTTCTCCTCCTCCTTCTCCTCCCCCACCTCGGCTCTAGAGAGCCCCGGGCGTCATAGGTACTTTGCTGGGTAAGAGGAGACGGGTGCCCCCCATTCACTCCTCCCGGTCGTGCGGGCCTTTCCCGCGGAGCCCTGGACCTGCATTCCTTTGAGTTTACCGCGGACTTAGGGCGGGATCAAAGGGAAAGTGGCCTGCGCCTGTTTAATCAAGGGCTTGTGGACCGAAACTAAGGCTGGGGGCGGCGGAGGGCACGCGAGTGAGCGGCGCAGGCCGAGGAAGGGCCGGTCCTGGCTGCCGCGCCCTCCCTTCGTGCTTGGTGCCGAGGCCCGGAGCGCCCAGAGCGCCGCGCTGATCCGAGGTTCTGCCTGAGGGCGGGCTCGGGTCCGCCCTGGCGCAGGGAGACAGGCCAGCCTTTCCACGGGAGGCTGCTTAGCGCTTGTGACCATATTTGGTCTGGCGAGGAGGCATCTTGGCTGTTTGGCTTGCAGTTGTCTGCTAGAGCGCAGACGGTGCCCAGAAAGTGCCTCTGTCACTAGAGCTGCGGCTTCGCCAGTGGGTGCGTTGTAAACAAACAACCTTGAAACCATCCTTCAATCTTTAGTCTCCTTGCGTGACTCGGGTCACTAGAACTTGAGAAGAAACCTGGTCAAAGCTGGGTACTGGAAAGGGAGAGCAATCGCGCCCCCCTCCCCCGCGACATCCGCGGGGGTTGTGGGAGGATTGGAATGTCCCTGACGCCCTCCAGAGAGCCTGGAGCCGGCATGGAACCAGAGCAGGTGGCTGGGAGTAGAGAGGGTGCGCCAGTGACCCGGAAAAAAACACCCACCCTCCCACCGGCTGGATCTAGGAGAGGGGTGGAGACCCCCAGCCCCTAGATCTAGCTTGGCAAGACAGCTGCGGGAAGTGGGAGGCAGCCTTGGCCTTCGGAGCAGCTCAATTCCTTTTTCCCTTGTCCCCTCTCCGCTGGAGGGAAAGGGAAAGCGGCTGCGAGGTAAGTCACGTTTCACAAAGCCCCTACCCCATGCCATTTGATTCAAACAGAAGTTTTTCGAAATAAGTCAAATGAGGCAATATATGTACAGACAGTCGGGACTTAACAGTGGTTGGACTTAACGATTTTTCCACTTCAGGATGGTGCAAAAGGGATATACATTCAAACTTCACTTGGAATTTTGAATTTTGACCTTTCCCCAGGCTAGTGACACGCCGTGCCATGTTCTCTTGATGCTGGGCCTGGGCGGCGGCAGCCACAGCTCCGGGTCAGCCCTGCCATCAGAAGGGTAAACAGCTTACACTTACAGCTATTCTGTAACCATATACAATTGCCTTTCACTTTCAGCAGTAGCCAATAAATTACTTGAGATATTCAACACTTTGTTATAAAATAGGCTTTATGTTAGATGATTTTGCCCAACTGTAGGATAATGTAAGTGTTCTGAGCACATTTAAGATAGGCTAGGCTAAACTGTGATGTTCGGTATTAAATGCATTTTCAACTTACGGTGTTTTCAATTTACAGTGGATTTATCAGGACCTCATCCTACCTAAATCGGGAAAGATCTGTAAAACACTTTGAACAGCACCCAGCCCATCCACATACCTCTCTGTTAAATAAAATAGAATTGTATTAAGTGCAAGTATGGCACCTCACTATTTTTATAAGGGTGAAATAAAGTCAAAATCTGGAGTTACTTTGAAGGAGAAAAGTTTACAGGAAAAGACAAGACCACCCCATAGTTTTGCCTTGGAAAAGGCCAGGGAGTATTTAGGGGCCACTCCCTGAATGGCTACTCCCTGTCATGCCCACAATAGAACAGAGCCCACCAAAATGAGGCACCTGTCAGCCCATTATCTATACTTGAGGGTGTGCTCTGATTCCAGACTCCCCACAGAGGAAAAATCAGGGCTGCCTTAGAGAAAGACAGCCACATGGGTCACCTTCAAAGATAAGCAGAGCATAAGCTCCTCTCCAGAGACTCTGGAACCCCAGATTTCCCATGCAGCAAAACCCTCTGCCCATAGGACCAGCAGAAGGAAGGGGGAAGCGACACGTCACTCCACTGGAAATAGTATCAGCAAGCTATCGTCAAAAGCCACCACAGTTATGACAATGGGGAAATTAGCTATGGAACTAGAGGAAGTAACAGGACCGAGTGATTACTAATCAGAAGCTGCAAGGCTAACTTGATGATTAAAGGATGGAAACTTGAGTCCAGCCCTACTCCAGGAAGCTCCTCACCCAAGAAGGAAGGGCCCGCTCTGTAAGGAGTATCTGGCAGCTACCAGAGAAGAAGAAAATGCTGAGGGAGCCATGAGAATCAGCCAGTGAGAATCAGGATTGGGATCGGATGGGCAAGGATGCTGTCTTCATTCCTTGCCAAGCTTCAAGAAATAGATGGTGAAAGACAGAGAAGTTGATGCCTGAAAAGGAAATTGCCCAGATCACAGGATAACTCAAAGGGAAAATCCCCAGTTCCCAAATAGCCTGTGTGATGTGATGGTGGATGGTTGAAGACATTTGCTCCGTCCTTCGAAAACAGCAGCTTCAGATGCCATAACGTTTACAGCTGCCTTGTATGTGTCACGTACTACCCACGTGAGGCCACACGGTGTAGTGACTAAATGTATAAGCTCTGGAGCAAAATACCTGAGCTCTCTATTCCCCGGTTCCTCCTTTGTAAATTAGGTGCAATAACAGTACCCTTTTCACAGGGTTCTAGGTTAAAACACTACAAATTTTATCCATTGACCCATGATAGAACACAAGTTTTGAAGTGCCTAGCTCTACTCTTTTCATTGGGCAAGTAACTTAGCTTCCCTAAGTCACAGATTATTCATTACAAGTTGGTGATAATATTGTGGTAGTCCGTGACATTGCTGCTTTTCAGTGGACCACCCTCCCTTATGGAGTCCCTTCCAATGTAAATCTGGACTAGGCCGGTGACTTGCCTTAACCAGGAAAATACAGCATTGAATATGTGCTAGCTCCCCCAACCCCATCCCACCCCCACCTTAACCCCTAAGAAGGTGTGGAAGTTTCTATTTTTGTACTTTTGGAACACCTAAGTCCCTAGATAAGTCCAACTACCCCGCTGGAGAAACCACATGGAGAGGGAGAGGCCCTGAGATATGTGGAGAGAGGGAGAAGTCCAGTCACCCCACTTCTGAGCTGAGCCCAGCCCCTAGGGGCCCATCAGCTGACTGCAAACACATTAGTGACTACCATCTAGATGAATAAAAGAACCACAGAGCCTAGCCCAGCCCAGATTGCAGAACTGTGAGCAAATAAAATGGCTATTGGGTTAAGCCACTAAATTTTGGCATTTTTTTTAAATGCAGAATGAACATTCTAAGGATTAAAAAAGAAAATGCAAATAAAGTTCTTAACACAAATTCTGTTACATACTAAGGCAGTCAAATGACAGTGATTTAAGCCTCATGGAGGCCCAAAGAATAGATAATATATTTTATATCCCCATTTTACAGATAAGGAATCTGGCCCAGTGAACTCCAGAGCATTTTGTCTTAAGTACATACAATGAATTCATGAAAAAACCCTCCGATTCAGCCTAGGATTTATCCTAGATCAGAGTGCTCTTTCTATTCTCCCATCCTGCGCGAGTCACCATTTGCTCCCTGGTATTGTCATTTTAAATCAGTGTGCTACCTCCTGCATGCCTATCTCATAGAGAAACTCCACAGTTTTTATAAGATAATCAATTGAGAGTAAGTAAATTTTTCTCCGCTTGCAAAGACTTTCCACTAGAAGTTGATTCCTGCTTCCTAATCTTCCCCTCAGCACACTTCCTACTGAAATCTTCCCTGAGCCATCCATCCCTCCTCCCTCTCTGTCTCCATCCAAGCAATAGCAAGTGATTCTTTATCCTGGTGTCCCTCAAAACCATCCTTCCCTTCCTGCTCCCACAACAAGACCTTATCTCAAAATGCTTGCAGTGGCCTCCTACCTGGTTTCTCTGCCTCCAGTCTCTCCTTTCTGGCCTCCTATTTTCATGGTGTCATTCCCTGGCTCACGAGATTTTAACAACTGCCCACATGAATAAAGGTCAGAGCTATCAATCTAGCACCCAAGGACTTGCAACAAACTGCCATCTTCATTGCTTTCTGACCTTGATTCTTACACAAATGTGTCTTCATCCACTCCAGCCAGGCTCTGACCCAAGCATATTTAGCCTATTCCTTCACTACATATATCTCTATTTGAACCCTGCTCAAAATTGCCCTCCATATTCCATTGTCAAGCCTCCATTAGTCTCTCTCCCCTAAATTAATATTATTCTTGTCTTTTTGTTTTCTTGTCTGTTTCTTTGACACATAATCATATAAAACACTGTCTTATATTCTAACTTTTACCTCAGTTATCTCTTGCCTCCTGGGGCTAGAAGAATCCTACATGTCTTTATGGAAATGCTCCTTTGAAGCCCATAATTCCTTATTGAGGGCATGATGATCCTTACATGATTTTGCCCATTCTTCTTTTAGCACCCACTGGCATACTCCTAACAGTTTATAAGGTAGCCTCTTACCATTCGTTACAGTTTTGGGACTTCATATGGAATCAGCTCCCTAAGAGAATTGCAAGCTCTTTGAGGACAGGTCTAAGAGGGCTTCGTTTTCTTCTTGTTTTTCCCCACACCTAACAAGGTGTTCCCTACACAGCTGGGTTCAGTACCGGTGGTCACCCAGCCCAATGGCTGTTGTCTTGACTTTGTCATCTGCCATATTTGCCTCAGGAAAGCCACAAGCTGCTTTCTTCAGCCCTACCCCTCTGAATTGCTGACTTGATGTGGGTGACTGGTTCCTGCTGAGACGAATGGTCAGAAACTTGGTGGGGTGGGTAAGTTGTTAGAGGATCCAGCCCAGAAGCCCTTGAGGCAGAACCGGCCTGGGCTTGCTGAACTAGTCTGGAGAAAATTCTCAGAGCAGGATCACCATTAGCAACT